TGTCGCCCCCCCCCCGCCGCAGCAAACCCTCCCCGGTCGTGGCTCCCGACTTCTGCCCGGCGGGAGAAGTGGTTTTCATCCCTGCATCCCTCCTCCTCCTGGGAGCGCCAACCCCCGCCGGCTCCGCATCCCGCTCCGGCCGCCGCCGATTTAGAGATGGAGCCGCTTTTCGTGGCGAGGAGGAGCTGATGCCGCTCGGGAGAGTTTGCGGGAGGAAACCCAGGGCTGCTTTGGGAAGTTCCAGCTGCAGCAGCACGATGCTGGGTTTACAGGCGAGGACGCGGGGCCGTGCCGGTGACGCTCACCGCCGTGTCCTCGCGTGGGCTGGGGGACGGTTGTATTGGATGCAGATTTGGGAAGGGAGGCTGGCTCGGGGAGCCTCCAGCTCTCTGCCTCCGCGCTGCCCGGCTTCTGATCCTCGCAGCCGTTAATCAGCGTCCAGCTCCTGCTCTCCCTTCAGAATTGCATTAAGTGGCGTTTGCTGGCATGCCCGGCCGGCCGCTCCGGCCTGGAGCCCTCGCCGCTGGATGGTGCCTTCGGATACTGCAGAGCATTTCTCTGGTTAAACGCACCTTTTGTGGGATTTTTTTTTTTTTTTCCCCCCTATTAGCCAAGAAAAACTTTACAACTTTCCTTCGCTTTCGGAGAGGAGCTGCTGCCGCTGCTGGGTTTCATTTTGGTTTTTTAATTTGAGGTCACGTGCACGTTGACAGTGTCTTTGAATCTAAGCGATGGTCTCGTCTCTAGCTTAGAAAGAGCTTTTGAGCTCTTCCCTCTGTTGTTTTCTCTCTGTTCAGGAACAAAGAGATTTTTCTGCCTTTAATTAAAAGGAATATTAATTCTCCGCGCCTTTGTCAGGCAACTTGAAGACACTCTGCAAACATCCGTCTGCTCGTCACCGCGGCGGGGTGAGCTCTGCTATGCTTCGGGGCACGGAGATGCGGGGGAACCGTCCCAAACCCCCACGGCAAATGCCGAGCAGCAGCCGGGGAGGATGCTGACAGCCCTGGCGCCGGCAGTCCTCGGGTGAGGAGCCCCTCGGGGCCGGCTCCTGGGTCCCCAGAGGTGGATAAGGCAGGTCCCCCCCCGGCGCATTTCCACGCAGGGAGAAGTTTTGAGCGTTGCTTTTGCTGTGGTTGGGAAGGCAAGCGGAGATGAACTTGGCTGTGCCAAGGGGTTTTTCCCTGGCTGCTGCCTCCCGGCAGGCCCGGCCGGTGTCCGTGCTGGCAGGTAAGGTTTTACCCGGGGACGGCCAGATGTCGGGCGTGTTTTGTTTGAAAAACGTATGACCGCAGATGTTGGCTTGTAGGGAGGAGAAGCCAAGATGTGCAGGGGGGAGAGGCTGCTCTCCCGTGGCGCTGGGTGCCAGCACGGGCTGGGCGCTGGGTTCGGGCAGGGTGGCAGCGAGGCCTCGCGTGGGTGCGGGATTTGCCTCTTACGTCGGGAACTCCCAGGGTGCGGGATGGAAAAATATTCCGGTGCTTGGCCCTGCTTTGGATTGGGAGGGTGGAGCGGCCCCCCAGCCTCTGCCCGTCGCTGCGGCATGCTCGGCACCGTGGGGCTGGGGGGCAGCCCCCGGGGCTCTGGCAGGTCCCACGGGGGACCC